GGAATTTCCCATTGGGAACCTACTAGCACTAAGTTGCTAACTGGTTAGCAAGATGCTTCCCAGACATCGGTCACAATCAAACTTGCCTGCGAACCTTCTGCCACAACAACTCCGCCCTCTTGATAAACGACCAATCACATTCACTTTATCCACTTGTGTAAAGTCGTGCACTACTCGGGAGAATTTAGAAATGGAACGGCTGGAACGGCAGTTTCCCTACGAATAGAATATTACACACACACACTATCTGATTATGTGCCAAAAGTGCTGAATTGATGATGTACATGTGATATACATGCTTTGATTACATTGTTATGGTAATTACAGTAAATTACAGGCATCTTTATGGCACGGCTCCGTGAAAGAGTATCCAGATGGCGGCAGGTAACTGCATTTTTTTCAGCCCATAAGCAATCCAGAGAATACATAGAGGTCAGTGGCTCAGAGTGTCACCAGCAGGCAGGTTCAACTCTGAGTTAGCATAAATATGTTTGGTCAGAAACTAGTTCTGATTTCTGTAGGCAGACTTTCCACAACCTGTGGCTGCAAGCGGCTGTTTTGACCTTCAACAATGGGTCTTAGTAACTCAGTATGATAGAAAAAGCTTGTTGTCACCACATTGACTTCACTACAATAACAAAATCCCTTCACCCGCCCTCCACAACGGCAACACAAAAAAAAAGCTCTCAAACTCTCTGTTGTATTTCTGTGGAGCCTAAAGAGGTAATGACATTTAAATAGATTTAGAATACTAGATAGTTTAAACTAAACATTGATCTTGAATTTGTTGAAGCTTTCATTGAGACTTAGAATTCATCACAGGATGTGTAGAAACACCCAGAATGTGAGAAAATTAAAATAAATTTCCAGGTAAATTCCCAAAACTCTAGCAGGAGGTCAAACATGCAGGTCCAAGGCTTCATAAGATGCCGACTGGTGCACTGCCCCAAACCCCAGCTGGAGCTGTCCTTGACTGCGAGAGCGAGACAGACGCAGTGATGGAAGAGCAAAGCGTTGCGTCCGGCGGCTGGAGCCAAACCTCCCACCTGCAACACCATGATTAGAGACCAAAAACACATCAGCATTACACCAACAGTACGCTGACACATCACAGTAGCATCACATCACTCCAGGCTCATGTTTCCATTGGCCTGACAGATTATGGTGCTTAGAATAATGATTTCACAATCATCTGGAAAACAGGCTCCTATTGAAGGCAAGCGAGCTTTGCTAAGTTTTTTCCCAATATTTCAACACCAATACAGGAATCTTTGTCCATTTTTGGAGCGACACCAAAAAACCTCGACGGATGGATAAGTGCTTATCATCTAACTTAGCATCTAACTTACATCATCCATCGTGCATCCATC